GGTAGCTGGAATTACAGGCACATGCTACCACGCCTGGCTAATTTTTGATTTATTGTAGAGACGAGGTCTCGCCAAGTTGCCCAGGCGGGTCTTGAACCCGTGGGCTCAGGCAATTCACTCACCTCAGCCTCCTAAAGCGCTGGGATTACAGGCTGAGCCACCAAGCCCGGCTACAACAAATTAAAAAAAAAAAAATTAGCCGGGCATGGTGGCACATGCCTGTGGTTCCAGCTACCTGGAAGACTGAGATGGAAGGAAGAATCATCTGCTGGAAGCCCAGCAGGTCGAGGCTGTGGTGGTCCGTGAGCCTGCCACTGCACTCCAGCCTGGGCAACACAGTGAGACTTCAACTCAAAGAAAAAAAAAGACTTAGTTACTACTGTCTATTTATACAAGCCAAAAATTGAAAGTAAACTAAATACCTATAGAAAAGGCTTTATTTATAAAAATTATGTATCATGTAATATTAGTTACTAAAAAAAAAAAAATGTTATAACGAACATTAACCAACAAGGGAAACATGAATCACAAGCATATGACAAAATTCAACACCACCTCATGAATAAAAAAAAAAAATTCAACAAATTAGGAAAAGAAACTTCCTCAAACTGATAAAAGACACCAACAAAACACCCACAGCTAATATCATATATAATGCTGAAACACTAAGTATTTTTTCCTTCTTAAATTGGGAATAAGACAAGAATATGCACTCTTTCCACTTTTTTTTTTTTTTTTTTTTTGAGTTGGAGTCTCACTCTGTCACCCAGACTGGAGTGCAGTGGCCGCTTCCGGCCACCGCAGCCTCAACCTGCTGGGCTCCAGCGACCCTTCCGCCTCAGCCTTCCAAGTAGCCGGAATTACAGGCATGTGCTACCACGCCCGGCTGATTTTTGGATTTACTGTAGAGATGAGGTCTTGCTGCTCAGGCGGGTCTCGAACCCGCAGGCTCAGGCAATCCACTCACCTCAGCCTCCCAAAGGCGCGGGATTACAGGCTGAGCCACCAAGCCCGGCTTTCCACTTTTTTTTTTTTTTTTTAAAGTCAGGGTCTCACTCTGTCATTCATGCTGGCTAAGCTTTGTATTTTCTGTAGGCAAGAGCTGTTACTATGTTGCCCGGGCTCAAGTAATTTTCTTCAAGTAATTTTCCCGCCTAGGCCTCCCAAAGTGCTGGGATTACAGATAGTGAGTGACCTTGCTTAGCCACTCTCTCCACTTTTATTCCACACTATTAAAACTGGAGGTTTTAGTCAGGACAATTAGGCAAGAAAAATAAAAGACATCCAGATTAAAAAAGAAGCTGGGCGTGGTGGCTCGTGCCTGTAATCCCAGCCTTTTGGGAGGCCGAGGCAAGAGGATCACTTGAGTTCAGGAGTTTGAGACCAGCTTAGGCAACACAGTGAGACCTCATCACTACAAAAAAAATATCAGCAGGGTGTGGGGGTGCGCGCCTGTAGTCCCAGCTACTCGGAGGCTAAAGCGAAAAGACTGTCTGAGCCCAAAAGGTCAAGACTGCAGTGAGCTGTGATCATGCCACTGCACTCCTGCCTGGGCAACAGAGTGAGACCCCGACTCAAAAAAAAAAAAGAACTCAGTTCTTTCATGCCAGTGATGGGTCTATCCCATACACATTTGTGCACAGAAAACAAATTCCATGAGGATGTCTTATTCAGAGGTGCTTCACCTAAAACTGGGATAGCAGGAAGTATAGACCTGGAGGCCCAGGGCCTCTGGGAACAGCCCAGCAGCTCACAGCCCCTCACACTCCCTCATCTACAATGGGAAGAGGGCAGAGCAGGGCAAACTCACAGCTCTCTTATGGCTCCAATGGTGGGCAGGGCCCTGTATTCTCAGAAAGTATTTTCTAGTTTGTTGCAGACACATCTCTCTAAGTGCTTCTCCTAGTGATGGCTTTTCTGTGGCTAGTCTGCCACACTGCAATGTGACCACTCCATACCCAGTAGAGTCCAGGTCAGAAAAGGAGTCAGCGGAGTAAGACTGAATCAGGAATCTCGAGCAATTCCAGAGAATGATAAGATGCTTATGGCAAAGATGTAACTTACACACACACACACACACACACACACACACACACACACACATCATTGTCTGATAGAAAAATAGGGGTGGGAAGCCAGGTGCAGTGGCTCAGGCCTGTAGTCCCAGCACTTGGGAGGCCAAGGCGAGAGGAAAGCCTGAGCCCACGGGTTCAAGACCAGCCTGGGCAACATGGCCAGACCACGTCTCTACAATAAATAAAAAAATTAGCCGGGCGTGGTGGCACACACCTGTGGAACCAGCTACTTGGAAGGCTGAGGCGGAAGGATTGCCTGAGCCCAACAGGGTGAGGCTGCAGTGGTCGTGAGCATGCCACCACACTCCAGCCTGGGTGACAGAGTGAACCGCTGACTCAAAAAAAAAAGAAAAGAAAAATAAGGGCGGGGCTTCCAGGTTCCTTCAGAGTGCTGAGCAATAACGTCACTGTTTTGAAAAGTGAAAAGATGGTGGCCCCTCGGGATTTCTGGAGCATCGCCCCTCACACATTTCATGATCAGGAAACGTGGCGATCCTGCCTGGGTTTCCTAGAAGGCTGTTCTCGTCCATGCCAGCGTTCTGATTTTCATGGAAACACCTACAGCAACTCTCTTCCTCAAGGTCCCCTTCTGTTTCTTATTCCAGGGACAACTCGGCCCTCCGGTGATTCTAGCAAAGGTGTGAGTAATATTTTCTCTTCACCAGACGTGTGCCAAGCATGAAAACTCACCTCATCATCATCCATTATATTTTCCTTCGCAAAGTCATACAGCTCTTTCTGGAGCGTGGTCACGTTAAAGAACTGAACTGCTTCCTGTGCAGACACAAACAGAGAACGCTGTAGATGATCGACCTTTTAGTGTCAGAACTGTGAGGAACGGGGACAGGATATGGGATTTCTTTCTAGGGTGATGAAAATGTTTAAAATTAGATCGTGGTAATGGTTGCCCAACTCTGTGGGTACACTAACAACCACTGAATTGTATACTTTTAAAAGGTGAATGTTTAAAAAAGAAAAGGTGAATGCTATGGTATATGAATCATTTCCCAATTTTTTAAAAAAACACGTCCTGAGTACAAGATGTGTTTATGACAACCCATGATAGCATATAAAAATCCCAGTGAAAATAGAAGTTGGCCAGGCACGGTGGCTCACACCTGTAATCTCAGCACTTTGAGAGATCGAGGAGGGAGGATGGTCTGAGGCCAGGAGTTCCAGACTAGCCTGAGAAACAGAGCAAGACCCCATCTCTAAAAAAATAAAAAATAGCTGGGCATGGTGGTACATGCCGATAGTCCCAGCTATTCAGGAGGCTGAGGTGGGAGGATCACTTGAGCCCAGGAGTTCAAAGCAGTGAACTATGATTGCACCATTGTACTCCAGCCTAGGCAACAGAGCAAGACCCTGTGTCAAAAAAAAAAAGGAAGAAAAAGAAAATATAAGTTAAAGGCACAGATCAATTTAGAAAGATCTTTTGGCCAAAGTGGGAGGATTGCCTGAGCTCATGGGCTCGAGACCAGTCTGAACAACTTGGTGAGACCTCATCTCTATAGTAAATTTAAAAATTAGCTGGGCATGGTGGCACATGCCTGTAGTTCCAGTTACTTGGAAGGATGAGACAGAAGGATCACCTGAGCTCAGCAGGTCAAGGCTGTAGTGGCCATGAGCATGCCACTGAACTCCAGCCTGAGCGACAGAGTGAGACTCTAACTCAAAAAATAAAATGAAATAAAAAGATCTTTTCGGCCAGGCACAGAGGCTCATGCCTGTAATCCCAGCACTTTGCAAGGCTGAAGCAGGAGGAATGCTTGAGCCCAGGAGTTTGAGACCAGCCTAGGCAACATAGTGAGGCCTCATCTCTACAAAATAAACAAAAAAGTAGCCAGGTGTGGTGGCACACACCTGCAGTCCCATCTACTCAGGAGGCTGAGACAGAAGGATTGCCTGAGCCCAGGCAGTAGAGGCCGTGATGAGCCGTGATCGTGCCACCGCACTGCAGCCTGGATAACAGAGCGAGATTGACTAAAAAAAAAAAATTTTTTTTTAAGTAATATATAAGCCAGGTGCGGTGGCTCACACCTGTAATCTCAGCACTTTAGGAGGCAGAGACAAGAGGATTGCCTGAGTCTAGGGGTTCAAGACCAGCCTGGGGAAATGGGCGAAACCTCATCTCCACAGTAAGTCCAAAAAATTAGCTGGGCATGGTGGTGCACACCTGTGGTTCCAGCTACTTGGAAAGATCACCTGAGCCCAGCAGGTCGAGGCTGTGGTGGCCATGAGTGTGCCACTGCACTCCAACCTGGGCAACAGTGAGACTCCAACTCAGAAAAGAAAAAAAAATAATAATAATAAAGTAGTATATGGGTGTGACATGGAAAAGTGTTCATGATGAATTGTTAGACAAAGCAAGCTGTGAAAGTTTCAAAACAGTACATAATGCATGATCCTGTTTCTGTAAACATAAACCAATGGTTGCTGCATATACGTGTAAACGGATGTCTACAAAGCACAGATAAAGAGAAGGGGCAGAATTAGGAGAGAATTTCTCTAAGTAAAATATGTCTACAATGTTTGAAATCTGTAACACTTTTATGGATCCAGAGGTCAGAATAAAGCAGTGAAATGTTAAAACCCAGTCGGGTACAGTGCCTCAAGCCTGTAATCCCAGCACTTTGGGAGGCAGAGGTGAGAGGACTGCCTGAGCCCATGGGTTCAAGACCAATCTGGACAACTTGATGAGACCTCGTCTCTATAATATATCAAAAAATTTAGCCGGGCGTGGTGGCTTGCGCCTGTAGTTCCAGCTACTTGGAAGACTGAGCTGGAAGGATCACCTGAGCCTAGCAAGTCAAGGTTGCTGTGGCCATGAGCATGCCACTGCACTCCAGCCTAGGTGACAGAGTAAGACTCCAACTCAGGAAAAAAAATGTTAAAACTCAAAAGATCCCTATAGAAAAAAATGAGTTTTCCTTCATTTCCAAAATCACCCTTTCTCTTAAGGTACCACGTCGCCTCCTGAGAAGACTGAGCGAGAGAGGGGCAGGGAGACTCAGAGAGAGCAGCACTTACTGGTCGGGGCTGGAAATGCTCATCCGAGAGGCCCCATTTGTCCTTATGGTACTGGTAATACACCAAGTTCTGCTGCATGACCTTGTCGTTCTGGTCAAAGAGCAGGTAGCTGACCGCACAGGGGGCTGCATTCTTCAGGTCATTCACTGGGGACAGTGAGAAAAGAGGAAAAGGAAAATCAACAAACCATCCCCTATAATTCCTCACACCAGTCACTGTTTCTTGAAGATCAGCTCCCTAAAGAAAATCAGGCCGGGTGGCTCACGCCTGTAATCCCAACACCTTGGGAGGCCGAGACAGGGGAGGGGATTGCTTGAACCCAGGATTTCCAGGCCAGCCTGCCCAACAAAAAAATTAAGAAATGAGCCAGGCATGGTCGTGCATGCCTATAGTCCCAGCTACTCGGGAGGCTGAGGTGGAAGGATCACCGAGCCCAGGAAGTCGAGATCAAGCCACTGGACTCCAGCTTAAGCGACACAGTGAGATTCCAACTCACACACACAAAAAAAAGATAATGAATAAGCCCCTCCTCTGCCACCCTTCCTTCAGAGATCCTGTGGCTGACCGGAAGAGCCCTGGGTGGGCAGGTCACCGACTGGGTCTCCATAGCACATAGCGGCCAAGTTCAAAACATGGAAGCTTCTTGTGAGGTAGAAGCCTTTGCAGACACGCCTATGGTCACCCCAGGCTCCGGGGACCTGAGACTGGCTCAGGTCCCCGGAGCCACTCAGAGAAAGCTGGGTCCCCATCCTGGACTGTCCCAGGGCTGAGGGGAGTCAGGAAGGGTGTGCTCGGCAAAAAAACTCCCCATTTGGGGACTACGGTGCCTGGGTCCCATCTGGATAGAACCACAATCTCCAGATACAGATGGGCCGTCCTACAACTTAACCAGACCGGGAAAACCCTAAGGATGGTGGACCTTCTGAGCTGGAGGAGACCTGAACCGTCACCGGCTCTTACCGTCTCCTGGGATAGGGTTCCCACCTCTAACCTCCCTGCTTAATATTGCCTGACCTATGACAAAACCTTCAGCAGAGATTTTGCAGGGGTGGGGATTTGCCATGGGGTGGGAAGGTAGGGAGTTGGAGATGATGAGACACAAGCCCCTGGGTATTTATTCTGGCACATTCCACCCCAATTTACAACGGAGGAACACTCCTTTTGCTAAAGCTGTGGTTGGCCAGAGTAGCTAAAGCTTGGGGATGAATAAATTCTGCCACCCAGTGGCTGCTTCCTGTAATGACAAATTTAGAACCAGCACTTTGGGGCATTTACTGTTCACATGTAAATAACCACGTCTGCCCTCAAGAAGTTGAGTGTGGCAGGTAGTGTGGAAAGAATGCAGAGCTAGGAAGAAAATTTTACTTATACTGTTGGCCCAGAACCCCAGAAAGCAAAAGATTTCCTGGAAAGCACCAAGCAAAGCTAGAGGCTTTGGCCTTCTAGTGTTGGTCTCTGCCACAGTTCATGATATGCAGGGCGATTTTCAGAGCATGTGAAGATCTCAGAGCCTGTAGTTCTAGCTATTTGGAAGGCTGAGGCGGGAGGATCGCCTGAGCCCACCCGGTCGAGGCTGCGGGAGGCATCATCAGGCCATTGCATTCCAGCCTGGGTGACAGAGTTAGACTCCAACTCAAAAAAAATAAAATAAAATAGAATAGAATATTCTTATTGATAAACTCCAATGTGAGTTACTAGGGACAGTTGCAGCAGGAACTGTTCTACCCTCATGAAGAAGTCCCAGGGCCAAATGGTGGCAGGTTTCTGAATAAAATAGACACCCCAAGACATATTCAGGGATGCCCTGGGAAGAGTGGGAGGTGACCTTGGCTTTTTTTTTTATTGAAAAACATAGCACTTTGGGAGGCCAAGGCAAGTGGATTGCCTGAGTCCACAGGTTCAAGACCCGCCTGGGCAACTTGGCGAGACCTCATCTCTACAATAAATAAAAAACGAGCCAGGTGTGGTAGCGCACGCCTGTAGTTCTGGCTACTTGGGAGGCTGAGATGGAAGGATCGCCAGAGCCCAGCAGGTCGAGGCCGCAGTGGCTGAAAACACACCACGGCACTCCAGTCTGGGCGACAGAGTGAGACTCCAACTCAAAAAAAAAAAAAAGAAAAACATAATTCATTTAGAAAGTAAATTAGAAAGGGGGCGGAGAGAGACTAAAAGAGAGAGAGAGAGAGAGAGGGAGACTAAGAAACAGAGAGAGACCTCATGTTTCCTAGTTTTAGCCCCTTACCCTACCTTGGGGAGGTGAATCTCCTCTCTCCCGCCCCCATTTCTCTCTCTCTCTCTCTCTCTCTCTCTCTGTCTCACCTCTCCCCCACCCCATTCCCCATTGCTTTGTTAAACTCTGGTGTGTCCAAGTGGCTCTATGAGGTATTCCTAGTTTTGGTTCCCTCCCCTACCTTGTGGGGGGGATGAATCTCCTCTCTTTCTCTCTTTCTAATTTGCTTTTTAAGTAAACTATATTTTTCGATCTAAAAAAAAAAAAGCCAAGGTCACCTCTCACTCTTCCCAGGGCATCCCTGAATTTGACCCAGGGGTGTCTATTTTATCTAGAAACCTGCCGCTATTGGACCCTGGCACGTCCTCATTAGGGCAGAACAGTTACTGCTGTAACTGTCCCTAATAACAATCCTCCAACACTTGTAACTGACACTCCGCTCAACCATGTGGCCCTTGGCAAAGTCAGGGACAGCAAGAGGAGAAAAAGCCTAAAGGGACATGCTCTGAAGCCTAACCCTACCTTCTCTCCTGTGTTCACCTCCTTCTCTCCTGTGTTCATTTCCCTGTGTCCACTTAGAATATGCTCACTGATAGCTGGGTGTGGTGGCTCACACGCGTAATCCCAGTACTTTGGGAGGCAGAGGCGAGAGGATTGCCTGAGCCCATGGATTTGAGTCCAGCCAGGGCAACTTGGCGAGACCTCATCTCTACAATAAATAAATAAATAATTAGCCGGGCTTGGTGGCGTGTGCCTGGAAGGCTGAAGCGGAAGGATCGCGGGAGCCCAGCAGGTCAAGGTTGTGGTGGCCGGGAGCGTGCCACTGCACTCCAGCCTGGGTGAGGCTCTGACTCAAAAAAAAAAAAAGAAAAAAGAAAACAAGCACATATATAGTTTCTAAGTGCCAGTATGTGAACACTCTAAGCATGCCACGCCACTCACTCATTTAATACTCACGACAATCCTTTGAGGTTAGTACTATCATCTCTGCTTCACAGATGAGGAAACTAAAGCACAGGGAAGTTTGCAAGTGATAAAGCTGGAATTCAAACCCAGGCAGTGTAGCTCCAGGGGGTGCACCCTGAATTGCTAGGCCACACCGCCTTTTCGTGCAAAGCCTGACACCAGGGCCAGCCATGTGATAAACTCTTAATAACCACAGGTAGGAGGCATTACCGCTATTCTCCAGTCTTGGAGGGATGAAGGTCTTCATCTGAGCTGTCATAGAAGATGACTTACACTTATAATAAGCAAACTGCAAGTAGTGAAACATGGTGGCCACAAATTTCTCGACCGGATAGCCTCCTATAACTGGGGTGAGGTTCTCTTCGCACTGTATTTTGCATTCCAGAACTTCCATATAATGATCTGAAAACACACACACACATTTTCAGAAAAGTGCATCCATTACTTTCTTTTTTTTTGCAGTTCACATTTTTTTTTTAAGTTTAATTTTATTTTTTTTGAGTTGGAGTCTCAGCCCATCGCCCAGGCTGGAGTGCAGTGGCATGCTCATGACGACAGCAGCCTTGACCTGCTGGGCTCAGGCGATTCTTCCAGCCCAGCCTTCCAAGTAGCTGGAACTGCAGGCGCACACCATCACACCCGGCTAACTTTTTTGATTTATTGTAGATACGAGGTCTCGCCAAGTTACCCGGGCTGGTCTCGAACCTGTGGGCTCAGGCAATTCTCTCAGCTCGAACTCGCAAAGTGCTGGAATTTACAGGCTTAGGCCACCGTGCCCGGCCAAACTTTTTACATTTTAGATGCAAGGTGTATAAATGCACATTGCACGCTCTGGTGGGGACTAGGCTTCTGGAATCCCCCAAATAGTGAACATTGTACCCCATAGGTCATTTTTTTAAAACCCTTGCCCCCTTCCTCACTTCCTCCTTCTGTTACTTTCTTAATATGCTATTTCTACCTCCCGCCCAAATGAAAAAGGTGAAAGAAAATTATTTGCAAAAGTTAGTACAAGGAGCTAAAAATCTTTAATATACAAAGTTCTTTAAAAATCAATATGAGCTGGACTCGGTGGCTCAGCCTGTGATCCCACCCTTGGGAGGCTGAGGTGAGTGGATTGCCTGAGCCTGCGGGTTCGAGACCCACCTGGGCAACTTGGCGAGACCTCATCTCTACAGTAAATCAAAAAATTAGTCAGGCGTGGTAGCGCATGCCTGTAGTTCCGCTGCTTGGAAGGCTGAGGCAGAAGGATCACCGGAGCCCAGCAGGTCGAGGCTGCGGTGGCCGGGAGCGGCCACTGCATTCCAGTCTGGGCGACAGAGTGAGGCTCCAACTCAAAATAAAATAAAATAAATAAATAAAAAATCAATATGAAAAAGACAAACAACCACTGTAAAATGGCCAAAGGATGTTAATAGAAAGGAAATTACAGATTAAAATGTCTCATAAATTTTGTGAAGAGATGCTACACCTCCTTTGCAATTAAGAAATACAATGAGGCCAGGTGCAGTGGCTCAAGTCTGTCATCCCAGTACTTTGGGAAGCCAAGGTGAGTGAATTGCCTGAGCCCACGGATTCGAGACCAGCCTGGGCAACATGGTAAGACCTTGTCTCTACAGTAACTAAGTAAATTAGCTGGACGTGGTAGTGCACGCCTGTAGTTCCGTCTACTTAGAAGACTGAGGCGGAAGGATCACCGAAGCCCAACTGGTTAACGCTGGAGTAGCCGTGAGTATGCCACTCCATACCAGCCTGGGCAACAGAGTGAGACTCCAACTCAAAAAAATAAAGATAAAAAAAAAATACAACGATCCTTAAAATAATTTAAACTGTTAAACTGGCAACATTTTTAAAGTTTCATGACACTCAGTATTAGGAAGAGAATGGTGAAACTTATACTTCTGTTGGTGGAAGTAAAACAAGAACAAACTTTTTGGATAACAATTTGGCCAAATGTACCAAAGGTTAAAATACACATATCCCAGCCTAGGCAACATAACAAGACTCATCTCTACGAAAAGAAAAAGAAAAAAAATTAGCCGGGCGTGGTGGCGTGTGCGTACAGTCCCAACTACTCAGGAGGCCCAGCCAGAAGGATCGCCTGAGCCCGGTGGTGGAGGCTGTGGTGCCCTATGATTGTGACACGGCACTCCAGCCTGGGTAACAAAGTGAGACCCAGCCCCGACAAAAAAAAAATTATTTTAGGTGTTAGAGTTCCATGTTATGCTTAAAAAAAAAAAAAAAAAAAAGCCTTTATTTTTTAAAGGTATATACCAAAATATTACAAATGAAATTATATAGTATCTGGGATTTGCTTCAAAACATGAGAAAGGAGAGGCAGGTGGGAATTAGATGAAGCCCAAGTGGCCATAAATTGACAAGAGTGAAGTTAGGGCTGGGCTCAGTGGCTCAGTCTGTAATCCCAGCATTTTGGGAGGCCAAGGCAAGTGGATTGCCTGAGCCACAGGTTCAAGACCAGCCTGGGCAAGTTGTCAAGACCTTGTCTCTGCAATAAATCAAAAACTAGATGGGTGTGGTAGCGTGCACTTGTAGTTCCAGCTAATTGGAAGGCTAAGGTGGAAGGATCGCCTAAGCCTAGCAGGTTGAGGCTGCAGTGGCTGTGAGTGTGCCACTGCACTCCAGCCCGGGTGACAGAGTGAGACTCTGACTCAAAAAAAAAAGCTCCTCAGAGGCCACTGCAGGCATCGAAGCACATAGACAGAAAGAAGACGGTTCCATGGAGGCAGCAATCCCCTTCACACACCACCGACCTGCTATGGAAAGGTAGAAATCCTTGAAGTCCTTGATCTCCCTGGAGCCCTCACAGGCTGCGAGACACTCGTAAAAGGCTTTGAAGAAGTCGGGAAGGGCCAGTTCCATGTCTGTGATCGATGTTCTCCAGTTCTCACCATTGTAAGCCCGCACTGCTCGGATGAACAGGCTCTGAAAAGCAAGGAAAAGTCAGTGAAGCTTGTTTCTGGGCAAGAAGGGAGACAGTTGTGTTCATTCTCCAAAAGCAGTCAAGATCATCACCGAGTTCTGCTCTCGTTAGTTCTGAAAAAGCCACACTGACCCTAAATTAAACATGAAGCTGGCCAGGTGTGATGGCTCATGCCAGTAATGGCAGCACTTTGGGAAGATCGTATGAGTCCTTTGGGAGGGGTTTGAGACCAGCCTAGGCAACATAGTGAGAGCTTGTCTCTACAAAAAAAAAAATTAGCTTGGCATGGTGGCACATGCCTATAGTCCCAGCTATTCGGGAGGCTGAAGCAGAAGGATCACCTGAGCCCAGGAAGTTGAGGTTGTGGTGAGCCATGATCATGCCACTGCACTCCAGCCTGGGTGACAGACTGAGACCCTGACTCAAAAAATAATAAAGAAATAAAAAGTAAATAAACATGAAGCCAATCAGTGACTTACTTCATATCTAGATTTTTCTACCATGTTTACAGTGAGTACACTCCTTTTTTTTAATGTGTATTTTTGAAATCTATTATTAGGCATATAAACATTTAGACATGCTATGTCCCCTTAATAAATTGATCCCTTCATCGTTATAAAATGATACTTTTTATCCCGTTACATTTTTTTTGCTCTGAGATCTACTTTGTTTGATATCAATCATAGCCACTACACCTTACTTTTGATTAGCGTTAGGATGGTATATTTTTTCCATTATTTTACTTTCAACCTTATTTGTGTCTTTATATCTAAAATAGGCTTATTTTTCACATTTTAAAAATTTCAATAGCTTTAGGAAGTACAAATAGTTTCTGGTTACATGGATGCATTGTATAGGGGCAAAGAATTCTTGTCTGGCTTTAAGTGTACATACTACTCCCACCTGTGCACACTGTGATATTTCATTCTTCCACTCCTTCCCACTCTCCCCCTTCTGAGATTCTAATGTCTACAATGGGTACACGTCTTATTTAATTTAATTAAAAAGTATCTAGTGGTTGATAATAAAATCAAATTAGAATCAAGGAAAAGGCCAGGCACAGTGGCTCATACGTATAATCCACAGGTTCAAGAACAGCATGGACAACTTGGCAAGACCTCATCTCTACAGTAAAAAAAAAAAAAATTAACCAGGCATGGTGGCACGTGCCTGTAATTCCAGCTACTTGGAAGGCTGAGGCAAAAGGACCGCCTGAGCACAGCAGGTCAAGGCTGTGGTGGCCAGGAGCATGCCACTGCCCTCTAGCCTGGGTGACAGAGTGAGACTCCAACTAAAAAAAAAAAAGAAAGAATCAAGGAAAAGAAGAAAACTACAGTGACAGAAATCAGATCAGCAGCTGCCAGGAGTCAAGGGTTAGGGCAAAAGCTTAGCTGCAAAGGGACAAAGGGAACTTTCCGGGAGTGGTTAAAAAAAATTTTTTTTTTTTTGAGTCAGAGTCTCTCTGTAATGCAGGCTGGAGTACAGTGGCATGATCATGGCTCACTGCAGCCTCAACCTTCTGGGTTCAGGTTATCCTTCTGCTTCAGCCTCCCAAATAGCTGGGCCTACAGCTACAGGACCAATTAATTTTTTAATTTTTTTTTTTGTGTAGAGACAAGGTCGCACTATGTTGCCTATCTCCAACTCCTGGGCTCAAGCAATCCTCCTGCCTCAGCCTCCCAGAGTGTTGGGATTATAGGCATGAGCCACAGCACCCAGTCTGATGAAAATACTCTAAATCATGACCATGGTGGCAGTTACATGACTGTGTATAGTTGTCAGAACTCAGTAAATTGTAAACTTAAAAGTTGGTAAATAAATTGTAAATAATACCTCAATAAAGCTGATTTTTAAAATTGTATCAAGGAGAAGTCTGACACCCCATTCCCTCCCGCCAATGCAGCATACAATAGGAGTGCCATGTCTCCGCGTGAGTTACTGGGAAGGGCAACCATGTGCCAGGCAGTGGAAGCAGCAAGGACTCTCTGCTCATTGTTGACTGGACCAATTAAAAAGAAATCATGGCTGGGCTCGGTGGCTCAGCCTGTAATCCCACGCCTTTGGGAGGCTGAGGTGAGTGGATTGCCTGAGCCCACGGGTTCGAGACCCGCCTGGGCAACTTGGTGAGACCTCATCTCTACAATAAATAAAAAATTAGCCGGGCATTCCGGCTACTCGGAAGGCTGAGGTGGAAGGATCACCAGAGCCCAGCAGGTCAAGACTGCGGTGGCCGGGAGCAGCCACTGCACTCCAGTCTGGGTGACAGAGTGAGACTCCAACTCAAAAATAAAAAAGAAATTCCTATGGACTTTGGTAAAGTCTCAGGATATAGAATCGGCACACAAAAGGCAGTTACATTTCTATACACCAACAACAAGCAGGCTGAAAACCAAATAAAAAATGTAATTCCATTCACAATAACCACACACACACAAAAAGAAAGAGATACCCTGGCATCCACCTAACCAGAGAAGTGAAAGACCTTTACAACAAGAAATACAAAATGCTGTCCAGAGAAATCAAGGATGACACAAACAAATAGAAAAAACATCCCATGCTCATGGATTGGAAGAACCAATATTGTTAAGCCATCCATCCTACCCAAGGCAATCTACAGATTCAATGCATTGCCAACATCATTTTTCACAGAGCTAGAAAAGACAATGCAGAATTTCATATGGAAGCAAAAAAGAGTACAAATAGCCAAAGCAATCCTCAACAAAAAGAACAAAGCTGGAGGTATCACTCATCTAGACTTAAGACGTTATTACAAGGCTACAGTAACCAAGACAGCATGGTGTTGGTACAAAAATAGGCACATAGACCAAAGGAGTAAGACAGAGAATCAGGAAATAAAAATAAAATCCCTCAACCAACTCATCTTCAACAAAGCCATCATTAACAAACAATGAGGAAAAGAAACCATATTTGGCAACTGGTGCTGGGAAAATTGACTAGCCACGTGCAGATATACCTATCACCATTTACAAAAGTTAACTCAAGGCCAGACGCAGTGGCTCATGCCTATAATCCCAGCACCTTGGGAGGCCTAGGTGAGAGGATTGCCCGAGCCCACAGGTTCGAAACCAGCCTGGGCAACTTGGTGAGACCGCATCTCTACAATAAATTTAAAAATTAGCCAGGCGTGGTGGCGCATGCTTGTAGTTCCATCTACGTGGAAGGCTGAAGAGGAAGGATCACCTGAGTCCAGCAGGTCGAGGCTGCAGTGGCCATGAGCGTGCCA